TCTCTGCTCTCTTCTCTCTCTTCTCTCTCTCTCTCTCTATTCTCTCTTCTCTCTTCTCTCTTCTCTCTTCTCTCTTCTCTCTTCTCTCTCTCTCTCTCTCTCTCCCTCTCTCTCTCTCTCTTCTTTCTCTTTCTCTTTCTCTTTCTCTTTCTCTTTCTCTTTCTCTTTCTCTTTCCCTCTCTCTCTCTCTCTCTCTCTCTCTCTCTCTCCCGTGAAGGTTCTGCTAGTGTGTCCCTGACATCCTTCAACATGTAAACATCTGTGGGCGTGCAATCATATGTGCGCTTTCTCCTGGCATCTCGAAAAGCAAACACCGGACGTGCTTGATTTACACAGGTGGCCAGCACATTGCATTGACCGAGACCTATCTGGTAGAGAGAGTGCACTTCCACCAGTCAATTTACAACATTCTTTTACAACCAAATGGCTATGGTGCAAAAGCACAAATGGACATTGGACTACTAGTATAGGTGAAAAACAGAAACAAAAATGCGCTGAAACATCTAGCGCTGCCGCTGAGAAAGGCAATTCAACTGCGTATACGCGTGACCTCGCTTCTTAACGAGATGTAAAACCATTTCAACAAACATGAATTCTAATATGTCCTCCTGATCCCATTGTCTGACGAGGACTTTTGACCGGACCTCATTTACATTATCCACAACAAGAATGCATATAATTTTAATATATATATATATGATTATATGATCAAATTAACTTAGCACATGTACACCCACATATACCACTCGTATTTGGAGGACTATGATCCACTGCAGTTTCCGGGCGCCGGCTGCCTGCTTCCTCTCCATTTTGAACTTCTCAATCTGGCAGCTTGGAGAAAGGCCAGGGACCGACAAGTTTAAAATGATAGGACCCACGTGACCCACATGGGAATCTCAGAACATCATTGATACAATATATATATATATATCTGGTTGGTGGTATACCTACCCCTCTGAAAAATATGACTTCGTCAGTTGGGATGATTATTCCCAATATATGGAAAAATGTTCCAAACCACCAACCAGTATATATATATATGACGTACATATATATATATATATATGTTGGTTTCAAAACCATACGGAAAGCATTGTGTTTTTAGACCCGCAAAATAAGAATATGAAAATATAAGGGTTCTTCAACCAATTCCTGGAGATGACATGTGTCCAAATCCTGCACTGCCGGCTTCTTGGATCTTATTGTTATGGGAATGGTATGGGAGCCTTTTGGGGTAGGGGTCCTACTATGGGCACCCTAGTGACTTGCACTGGAAAAACCAGCGATCTGCAGCATCTTACATGGTCATCAACCACTAGACGCAGCGCGTAGTGGCAGTACCATCTGGTAAACTAACACATAACTATGGGAAATCACCATAGAAATAGTCAATTTTCCCATAGAAATAGTGAAATTTCCCATGAAAAATGGTGATTTTCCATAGTTATTTTACAGTTTATCAGAAGGTATAGCAATCCCAACTTCCGGTGGTCCAAAACCCACCTGCTCGAAGACATTGGACTGGACCGAGTCCTTGCTGTGGACGCAACTATCTGATGCTTGGTTGAAAATTCATGGCCGTTTTTCGTTACAAGCAAGGCCCCGACCAGTTATATGAACATGTAAGTATGTTGATGCAACTCAGTTTGTTGAAAAGATATGTGTTCCCCATAAAGCCAACAGTTATCGTAGCCTCGGCAACCAGGGATTAACTCGGCAATCCTCACCCCAAACCGCTGGGATGATCTTCCCCACTGACAAAAAGCGTTCGATCAGAACACCAAATGATCTTTTCATAACACAAGATATCATATAATCATATATCATCATATCATTCAACCATAGGACAAATGCCAAGAAATCTATAGAAATGTGGCTTTTGTTTCTGTATGGTTTTATCATGCCAACCATTTCCCGGTTCGGTGTGCATAAAAACTGAGATTCAACCATCCAACCCCCCAGGTGATCCACCATCAATTCGAGATGTTTTTAAGCCTTTAAACAAACGCGCTTGTTGGTGGGTAATAAGCCCTGAAACAGGCCAGGATCATCTTTAACTATTTGGGTTACTATCTTTAACTATTTGGGTAATAAGTAGTAATAAGCACCCATGGTTACTTTCATAATTATCTTCAACTATTTGGGGGGATCATCTTTTGGGGAGACTTTTTTTTGGTCTAGGCGTCGACCAACCAAGAATCTAAGGAACCAGCTTGGCATGGTGGATGATAAGGCCGTGGACATGAAACGATAACTAATCCGGTCCCGAGGCCAGCTTTCTTTCTAAGTATAGGAGGGTCCCTGTTGATTGTTTCCTTGTGTATACCAGCCTATTCTGCAAGGAGTTACCCATGTTACCCCCTATAGTTCTAAGTTAGTTTACATATCCAATTTACCCAATCACACCTATGGTTATAACCACCGTAAAACCAACGGTACACCTACAATGTGGCAAACCCAATGATAAACCATCCCATTACTAAACCATGACTGGGGGGCATAATAACATCATCCCAGTCATATGGGGCATACCGTACCCAAAACATTGTCTATGTTTCACCATTGTGCCTCTACCAATCAAAAATGAAATCATGTTGTACCAAGAAAATCTGACAGGTTTTACCTACTCTGCAAGGGATTTTCCTCCAGTTAAAAGTCGGGAAACACATCCCCATAGTTATACAGTCATCACCATAAACCCAACGGCAAACCTACAATATCCTGCAATGTGGTAAACCTATATCTGGCTGGTGGTTTGAACCCAACCGAAAAATATGAATTAGTCATCTCAACCCACCATCCCTTTTTGCATGGTTAAACAAAAACTCATTGACATATTCGAAACCACCAACTAGATATATCAACAAATCATGAACAATCCTTATAAATGGAGGTTTACAAAGTTTATAGCTAGGAAAATCTATAAATTACATTCAATTACCGTCTTTTTGCCCCATTGAAACCCAAGCAACCAGCTGCAGCCAAGGCACTCCACCCTCCGATCCAAAAAGCCCCGACTCCTCCGATCCAAAAAGCCCCGACTCCTCCGACTCCTCCGACAGCGGGAGGAAGGTCGTGGGAATGTGCACTGGCAGCTGACTGCCTTCCCTGGGACCGGTGGCACCGGTGGCAGCGGCTTTGAAAGGGACAAATCCATGGGACTTGCCATGGGTTTTGGGAAAATTGCCAGGAAATTGAAGGTTTTGCCATGGGAGTTTATTCCTAAATCGTTTCAGATTTTCCTGGGAGATCTGCATCTCACAAAAGTGAGTGCCCAATCCCCTGATCTCTGGGCAGTTTCTCTCATCTTTCCGGAATCGCTGGTGATGAAACTCGGTAACTCCATGGGCATCTCCGTGTTTCAAGCGAATGGGGTGGGTATACAAAACCTGCTTCCAAGGTACCCTTATTTTAGAAAACCTCCATACAATGTGGGGCCCCCAAACGATAGCTAAGTTGGTTTATAACTCCAATAACTATGGTTTACGATACTAATAACAACATGTTATAACTGTGGTTGATGGGGTTTATAAACCATCTTAGAACTGGGGGGGCCCACATTGTATGATAAACCATTTGCAGCACCGACAAAGAACACCGCCCCCTTGAACTGTGATCATCCCAGAAACAAATCATCATCGATGCCCATCGAGTAGCTTTCTGCTGAGCTTCTCCTGAAACGTCCAAGGACAAAGCAGGAATGGCTGTATGGCAAGCAATAAATAGAGAAGTTAAATCTCAAAAAATAATTGCATCAAATATAGCAAAATCCCACGTCTTTTTCACAGTTGCGTAAAATAGTGGAATCAAATCTTAAATGTATCAAATCCCATAAATTGGTGGAAAGAACGTTCCAGGTAGACTCTGAACATCTCTGTTTGGTGTCAGTACCAGCTGTTTCTTTCGGAAAAAATGACTCATAATCGCGAGCATATACCGAGCACAACCCTGGTTGACATGGTTACAAACCAAACTTGCTAAGTATGCGGCACCACTTTGCCCAGTGAACCACTGTTGTACGTGGATTGGTTTGGGGGCAACCATAGAAATCATATCGTGGATCAATCAATAGGAAAAGAAATTATAGAAAACATCATCTTCAGCAAATCCAGATATACTGATATAGACCCTGGTAAACTAACATAGCTATTGAAAATGGCCATAGAAATAGTGGATTTACTCATTGAAAATAGTGATGTTCCATAGCAAACTGTTAGTTTACCAGAGGGTAGCCCTAAAAAATTCTGGGTGGAAATGCAGGTCTGCAGAATCATAGATCCATCCCGTTGTGGGGAACGATTTGCGAGGCGCTGTTCCAATTGTTCCCCGAGATCCCTCGAGTCTTGTGGCTAAACTCAATGGATTGGTTTAAGGGAACATCTACAGGAAACCATAGATTTGCCCATTAAATATGGGGGTTTCCTGTAAATTTTCCCTTAAGCCAATCCATTGATAAACTCCCCTTTCAAAATTCGACCCATTGAGAAATATATGTCCTTTTGGGACAAATGGAGGCATCCGTTTGGCATAAGATGTAATGTTGTCTAGCCAATAGTGATATTGGCAATAGTAGAAACCTTTTTTACCAACTCCAGTTTTATCTCCAATACTAAAAGTCAATTAGCTTAATGTTCTGACCTTGACCAGAGGGCATGGCCAATAGTGGACCCAACATGGCAATAGTGGATTTTTTTTCCCAACTCTAGGTTTATCTCCAATACTAAAAGTTAATTAGCCTAATTTAATTTTATTGTTGCCAAAAAACTAATGTTCTGACCTTGTCCAGAGGGCATGGTATAGTATCCAGCCATAGGGTTCCAGGAATTTACTATTGGAAACTCTGACCCCACGCCAAGAAAATGGGGGGGTTATTATTAGGCAGCCAACATTAAACATCATTTAGCTGTAAACTGTTCAATGGGTAGTGACCCCTCTCTGTTGACCAACCAACCAATTGGAAAAAAACAACTACTACGCATTAACATTGCTAAGTTAAGTTGCAGGTCCCTTTTTGGTTTTCTCACTCCCGTTTGTCAGAAAAAAGGATACACCAAGCTAGATGATTCAATTTGACAATCATTCCCGAGAGCGTCTGAGCGCAGGGTTCTTCCAATAGTGGGGGTCTGTAAAACATCTTCTCATCTTCACATCTCATCTTCACATCCTCTCATCTTCACATTTGCTCATCTTCACATCCTCTCATCTTCATATCCTCTCATCTTCACATCTGCTCATCTTCACACCTTCCCATCTTCACATCTGCTCATCTTCACACCTTCCCATCACATCTGCTCATCTTCACATCTGCTCATCTTCACATCTGCTCATCTTCACATCTTCTTATCTTCACATCTTCTCATCTTCACATCTGCTCATCTTCACATCTGCTCATCTTCACATCTGCTCATCTTCACATCTGCTCATCTTCACATCTGCTCATCTTCACATCTGCTCATCTTCACATCTGCTCATCTTCACATCTGCTCATCTTCACACCTGCTCATCTTCACACCTGCTCATCTTCACATCTGCTCATCTTCACATCTGCTCATCTTCACACCTTCCCATCTTCTCATCTTCACATCTGCTCATCTTCACATCTGCTCATCTTCACATCTGCTCATGTTCACATCTGCTCATCTTCACATCTTCTTATCTTCACACCTGCTCACCTTCTCTCTCATGCCTTCTTTTTATCTTTCTCTCACATCTTCTTATCTTCACACCTGCTCACCTTCTCTCTCATGCCTTCTTTTTATCTTTCTCTCTTAAGGCCGAGGGTGGTGCCGGCGGCGAGTCACGAAACGTCAACCCTTTCGCACGAAATGAGGGTCGATCGGCAAAAACTGAGGTAAAATTGCGATTTGACTTGTCCCGGAGCAACCCTTTCGCACGAAATGAGGGTCGATCGGCAAAAACTGAAGTAAAATTGGGATTTTACTTGTCCCGGAGCAACCCTTTCGCACGAAATGAGGGTCGATCGGCAAAAACTGAGGTAAAATTGCGATTTGACTTGTCCTGGAGCAACCCTTTCGCACGAAATGAGGATCGATCGGCAAAAACTGATGTAAAATTACGATTTTACTTGTCCCGGAGCAACCCTTTCGCACGAAATGAAGGTCGATCGGCAAAAACTGAGGTAAAATTGCGATTTGACTTGTCCTGGAGCAACCCTTTCGCACGAAAATGAAGGTCGATCGGCAAAAACTGAGGTAAAATTGCGATTTTACTTGCCCCGGAGCAACCCTTTCGCACGAAATGAGGGTCGATCGGCAAAAACTGAGGTAAAAGTGCAATTTTACTTGTGCCGTTCTTGTCTGTGTGTAAAAGCGCCTGTGTGTCAAAGCGTCTGTGTGTAAAAGTCTCTGTGTGTAAAAGCATCTGTGTGTCAAAGTGTTTGTGTGTAAAAGTCTCTGTGTGTAAAAGCGTCTGTGTGTCAAAGCGTCTCTGTGTCAAAGTGTCTGTGTGTAAAAGTGTCTGTGTGTAAAAGTGTTTGTGTGTAAAAGTGTTTGTGTGTAAAAATGTTTGTGTGTAAAAGTGCCTGTGTGTAAAAGCCTTTGTGTGTAAAAGCAGCTCCTGTCTGTAAAAAGGTCTGTGTGTAAAAGTGTCTGTGTGTAAACATGTCTGTGTGTAAAAGTGTCCGTGTAAAAGCGTCTGTGTGTAAAAACATCTGTGTGTAAAAGCGTCTGTATGTAAAAGCTTCTGTGGGTAACAGCTTTGTGTGTAATAGCCTCTGTGTAAAAGCTTCTGTGTGTAAAAGCTTCTGTGTGTAAAAACTTTTGTGTGTAAAAGCGTCTGTGTGTAAAAGTGTTTGCGATGCAAACTATTGTCTTGCACTTCTCACTATTTTGTCTTGCTACTTCTCTTCTCGACTGCCTATAACACATCTTTCATATATTGTTTGTAAAATTGTGTCTCCATACTAACAAGAGAAGACCCTGCTCCTCTACGCTCTCGGGCCATCCGTCGTCTAGTTTTTTCTCAATTTTTCCCTGCTCAAATGGGGTCATGAGCCATTTTAAGACACAACCATTTCTGACCTCCGGTCGTTTGCACGTACTTCCCTCCCTTTCTGCGTCTCAGCGTCCGGCTGTCTGCAGAGAGCCGGGAGGTCCGCAAATTTGTGGCGCGCTGTGCTCGGCTCTCTGGTCCTTTCCGTAACAATCGATGGTGACCTTGTGTCGGGGTGGTTAAATACCCATGTCCCCCATGATACAAATAAATACAAATAATCCCTCCAGAACCTATCAAAATCATCCTGATCACCCGTCCTCGGCTGCTCTCCGTGGAGCCTCTTCGATTGCTCCTCTCACTTTGCGTGATGAGCCCACTCTCCATGGAGCTGCGACGGCTCGCTTTCTCCATGGAGCTGCGACGGCTCCCTTTCTCCATGGAGCTGCGACGGCTGCCTTTCTCCATGGAGCTGCGACGGCTGCCTTTCTCCATGGAGCTGCGACGGCTGCGGAGGCTCCCAGACTCCAACGAGCTGCGTCCTTGGAATTGTCTGGAAGGATCAGCCAACCAAGGAGCAATGAATTAATATGCAAACATATTCAACAAAGACTGGGCGAGGATTTCGGCCTGCTATTTCTTGCCCGGCCGGCCAGTCTGTGTTGATTGCGGCCGGCCGGCCGGCTAGGCGTCTGTATGAGCTACGTCCGGCCGGCCGGACTCAGTTTAGGTTTTGGCCGGCCGGCCGGCCGCCAGGATACATTTGCATTGGCGTAGTTTTTTTTGGCTGGCTGGCTGTCTGGCTGTGCCTTCAATTGGCTAAGGTCTTGGCCGGCCGGCCGGCCGGCCGGCTGACGGCTGGCTGTACCTCCAATTGGCTAAGGTTTTGGCCGGCCGGCTGGCTGGCTGCTTGGCTAGTTGGCTGGCTGGCACGCTGACTCGGCTGGTGGGCCTAGCTACTTGGTTCCGGATATTAGTTAAAGTAAGCGCTAAAAGGGACATGTTAAAATTCTGTAAGCTGTAAGAAATCTCAAATGACATATGCGATAGTATGACCGCAGAAATATTAGGTAGATAGCATATATGTTAGATAGAATGTTGCAAAATTGTAGACATGAAGTAGGTGATAAAACTGGAATATGTGTTAGATGAAATATGTTAGTGTTAGATAGAATGTTAGATTGAAGGTCGGAATTTATTTGGCAGCTAGAATGTAAAAAACATTCTTCCCCAGACAGTGTGTCTACACTGAGGGGTTCTGACGTAGATGCGAAGGTTGGTGCTTGATCAGGGTGGTCACTCTCTTCTGCGGCCTGTTACCTGTTAATTTTCGTATAAAGCGTCGCGTATAAAATCTTGAAATGTGTGTGTGTGTGTTTGTGTGTGTGTGTGTGTCCGCGTTCTGGGCATTTTTCCTGTAATTTTCCGTATGAAGTGGCTCTTGTGAAATCTTGACATGCGTTTCGATTTAGCAGGCTCGCACAAGGTGTGGTCCATGGTTTTGTCTTTGATTTCATTCAATTCAGTTATTTCAATCATTGCAGTCATTTCATTCATGTCATTCATTTCGTTCATTTGGTTCATTTCATTACTTTTATTCGCTTCATCCGTTTCATTCATTTCGTGCATTTCAGTCATTTCATTCATTTCCTTCATTTCATTCAATTCAGTCATGCAACTCATTTCATTCGTCTTATTCCTTTCATTCGTTTCAATCATTTCATTCATTTCATTCATTTCATTCATTTCATGCATTTCATTAATTTCCTTCATTTCAATCATTTCGTTCCTTTCATTCATGTCATTCATTTCATTCATGCCATTCGTTTCATGTGTTTCATTCATTTCAGTCGTTTCACTCGTTTCAGTTATTTCATTCATTTCGTTCATTTCAGTCATTTCATTCATGTCATTCGTTTTATTCGGTTCATTCATTTCATTCGGTTCATTCATTTCATGCGTTTCATTCCTTTTATTCATGTCGTTGATTTCGTTCAATTCATTCATTTCATTCGTTTCATTTGGTTCATTCGCTTCATTCATTTCATGACATGTCATCTCGTTTCATTGTATTTCATGTCATTTGATACATTTCATTTATTTCGTTCACTTTATTCGTTTCGATCGTTGCATTCATGTCATTCATTTCAATTATTCATATCATTTGATTTCATTTCATTTCAGCAATTTCAGTCATGTCAGACATTACGGTCATTTCAATCATCTCAATAATTTCATTCATTTCGTTCATGTCATTCATTTCGTTCATTTCATTGCTTTTATTCGCTTCATTCGTTTCATGAATTTCATTTATTTCACTATTTTTTTCCGCTTCATTCATTTCATTCATTTAATCCGTTTCATTAATTTCGTTCATTTTGTTCATGTGTATCATTCCATTCATTTCACTCCTTTCATCGTTTCATTCACTTCATTCCTTTTTTTTCATTTCATTCGTTTCATTCATTTCATTCGTTTCATTCATGTGTAACATTCCACTCATTTCACTCCTTTCAGCGATGTCATTCATTTTTTCATTTCATTCGTTTCATTCATTTCATTCGTTTCATTTCGTTCATTTCATTCATTTCGTCAATTCATGTATTTCATAAACTGCTTTTATTCGCTTCATCTCACTCATTCCATGCGTTTCATAAATTGATTTCATTTCGTTCATGTCGTTCATTTCATTCGTTTCATTCATTTCATGCGTTTCATTCATTTCATTTATTTCATTCATTTCATTCATTTCATTCATTTGTTTCATTCCATTCATTTATTTCATTCATTTGTTTCATTTCATTCGTTTTATTCATTTCATTTGCTTCATTCATTTCATTTTTTCGGTCATGTCATTCATTTCCTTCATGTCATTCGTTTTATTCGTGTCATTCATTTCATTCCGTTAATGTGTTTCATTCATTTCACTCATTTCAGTCATTTGATTTCTTTCATTCATTTCACCATTTCGTTCTTTTCATTCATGTCATTTCTTTTATTCATTTCATTCATTGAGTTCATTTCATTTGTTTCATTCGCTTCATGCACTTCATTCATTTCATTCATGTCATTCGTTTCATTCCCTTCATTTGTTTCATTCATTTCTCTCATTTCAGTCATTTCAATTCTTTCACAATGTTCACTCATTTCGTTTACTTCATTCATTGCTTTCAAGTTTATTTGTTTCGTTCGCTTCACTCGTTTCATTCCTTTCATTTGTTCATTCGCTTCAGTCTTTTCATTCGTTTCATTCATTTCATGCATTTCATTCCATTCATTGATTTCAGTCATGTCATGGATTTCAGTGATTTCATTCATTTCATTCATTTCAAGCCTTTCAATCATTTCATTCCTTTCATTGATTTCGGTTATTTCATTCCTTCCATTCATTTCATTCATGTCATTTCTTTCATGTCGTTGATTTATTTCATTTCTTTCATTTCATTCATGTCATTTGTTGCATTCGTTTCATTCGTTTCATTCATTTGAGAGATTTCAGTTTTTTCATTCATTCATTTCATTTTGATTTCATTCAGTTTACTCATTTCAATTTTTGAAATCATGTCATTCATTTCGTTCATTTCAGTCATTTCATTCATGTCATTTGTTTCTTTTGTTTCATTCCTTCCATTTGTTTCACTCCTTTCATGTGCTTTATTCAGTTCATTCGCTTCATTCATTTCATTCCTTTCATTCATTTCATTCGTTTCGGTCTTTTCAGCTATTTCATTCCTTGCATTCCTTGCATTTGTTTCATTCATTTCATTCATTTCATGTATTTGGCTCATTTCTTTCAATTCATTCAATTCAGTCATTTCAATGATTTCATTTCTTTCGTTCATTTCATTCATTCCATTCATTTCTTTTGTTGCATTCGCTTCATTCGTTTCATTCATGTCATTCGCTTCATTCGTTTGGTTCTTTTCATTTGTTTCATTTGTTTCATTTGTTTCATTCATTTTCATTCGTTTCATTTGTTTCATTTGTTTCAGTCATTTCATTCCTTTCAATCATTTCATTCCTTTCGTTCATTTCATTCATTTCATTTCTTTGTTTCGTTTCATTCGTTAGATTCGTTTCATTCGTTTCATTCGTTTCATTCATTTCATTCAATGAACTTCTTTCATTCGTTTCATTCGCTTTATTCGGTTCATGTGTTTCATTTCATTCATTGCATTCATGTCAGTCGTTTCTTTCATTGCATTCATGCATTTCATTCGCCGGGCTTGGTTTTTGGCCCGCCGGCTGGCTGGCTGGCTGTCGCTTGGCTTCAGCTGGTTCTTGGTTTGTGGCGTCCGGCCGGCCGGCCAGCTGGGGCTTGGTTTGTGGCCGGCCGGCTGGCCAGCTGGTGCTTGGTTTTTGGCCAGCCGGCCAGCTGGCTGGCTGGATGTGAAATAGCGGGCCGCACTAAGCTCGCAATCATAAATAATAAATACACGGACTACAATCTTCTAAAACATACTGAGGCTCTCTCTATTCAGTCGAAATGTGTCACGTTGATGTTATTATCATTGATCATTGTCCCTGATATTTCTATTGCAATTTCTATGGGACTCCTATTGGGATTTCTTTGGGATGTGTCTATGATATTTCTATTATCTGGAATTTCTATGGGATCCCCATTGGATTTCGATGATATATATATATATATAGTTCTCAGGGATGTCTAAATAAATTGTCATGAATTGACAATCTTACTTATCCTTAGTTCTTTTGGTTATAGAGGATTATAGAGGAACATAATTTGAAAGCAAATTGATATGAAGTGAAATCCTTACTTATCAATTGATGCCATTTTTGGTCGAAACAGACAGTCAATTAATTGAAAATAGATGGATATCTATCGAAGTCCTTACTTATCCTTGGATTTCTTTAGGTGCAAGAGGAAAATTGAAGAAAGTAGATGGATATCTATCGAAGTCCTTACTTATCCTTTAAATTAGTTTTGACAGGGAAAATCAAGTAAGTTGGAAAGTACATTGAAACTGATTGAAATCCTTCTTATCAAAATAAGGTTTAAAAGGAAAATCAATTGAAAGTAAATTGGTAAATTGAAATCCTTTCTATCAATTGATCTCTTGTCCATCACAATTTACCAACCTACAGCAAGCTCCTCAATTCTTTTGGGGGAGGGGGGAAAACTTGGGTTTAGGTGCACTAATCAAGATCCAACATGATCAACATTACCATTAAAATCATGATCAAAGAATTAGCCTATGAAATACCCTCTGGTAAACTAAAATAACTATGGAAAATCACAATTTTTAATGGGACAACTCACTATAAATGGCCATTTTCAATAGCTATGTTAGTCATTACCAGAGGGTAGGTCTTGGACTCTTGGGATGCTCATCATGTTTACACCCCAGCTACGGGCCAAAAAAAACAAATATGATGCGGGGACTCAGACACCGTCACAAAGGCGACCATCCCAAGAATGTTTGGATTTTATATAAGGTTTTTTCGGCCACCAAGAAACGACGAGTACTAAGAGCTTGTCAACTGTTATGGGAGGTAGTCACCTTTGCGGCGTTTTTTCATC